AACACTTCCTCATAGACTTCTCTACAATCTGAGGTAATAAAGAGAGAGAGAAGTAGGAACATTTCCTCATAGACTTCTCTACAATCTGAGGTAATAAAGAGAGAGAGAAGTAGGAACATTTTCTCATAGACTTCTCTACAATCTGAGGTAATAGAGAGAGAAGTAGGAACATTTCCTCATAGACTTCTCTACAATCTGAGGTAACAAAGAGAGAAGTAGGAACACTTCCTCATAGACTTCTCTACAATCTGAGGTAATAAAGAGAGACTGAAGTAGGAACATTTCCTCATAGACTTCTCTACAATCTGAGGTAATAAAGAGAGAGATAAGTAGGAACACTTCCTCATAGACTTCTCTACAATCTGAGGTAACAAAGAGAGAGAGAAGTAGGAACATTTCCTCATAGACTTCTCTACAATCTGAGGTAATAAAGAGAGAGAGAAGTAGGAACATTTCCTCATAGACTTCTCTACAATCTGAGGTAATAAAGAGAGAGAGAAGTAGGAACATTTTCTCATAGACTTCTCTACAATCTGAGGTAATAGAGAGAGAAGTAGGAACATTTCCTCATAGACTTCTCTACAATCTGAGGTAACAAAGAGAGAAGTAGGAACACTTCCTCATAGACTTCTCTACAATCTGAGGTAATAAAGAGAGACTGAAGTAGGAACATTTCCTCATAGACTTCTCTACAATCTGAGGTAATAAAGAGAGAGATAAGTAGGAACACTTCCTCATAGACTTCTCTACAATCTGAGGTAACAAAGAGAGAGAGAAGTAGGAACATTTCCTCATAGACTTCTCTACAATCTGAGGTAATAAAGAGAGACTGAAGTAGGAACATTTCCTCATAGACTTCTCTACAATCTGAGGTAATAAAGAGAGAGAGAAGTAGGAACATTTCCTCATAGACTTCTATACAATCTGAGGTTTGATTGATTGATTGAAAAGTTTATTAACAGCTTGTATATTGGGTACAGTACAGTACAGCTCAAAACATACAATTGTTAAGGGGATGCAGACCAGAGAAAGACTTTCGTCTTGTTTACATCAGGGTCCCCCATTTCCAATTCATCATATCATTTAAGACATATACGACATATTTGACATACAGATGGCTTATTTACAATTTACATACAGGTGGTTTTTTACATACAGATGGCTTATTTACAATTTTCATTTTAGATTTCGTTCTAATACATCCTAACCGGACATTTAAGACCTACCAAGTCTACAGATATACAGTTAGTAACAGAGTCTAAAATGCGAGTATATACATAGATGGGGGGGGGGAAGCTGTCCATTGTACGACAGGTTGAGATTTGTACCATTACCGGGGCCAGTTTTGCAATGCTTTCCCCCGAAGGTGCTCTTTAAGAGAGGTTTTGAAGGTAAGTATAGTTTTACTTTCCTTTACAGTTGTGGGAAGAGCGTTCCACCTTGATGTGGCATAATTGCGAAACGTGTATTCTCCTTTTTTTGTGCCAAATCTGGGTTTTACATGATTTGTGGAGCTCCCTCTGGTGTTATGATCATGGTATTCCTTGACCTTTGGGAAGAATTTTGACATGTACATGGGTACCATAGAGGTGTAGTGGATCTTGTAGACCAGGCCCATTGCAAGTAGCTGTACTCTGTCGTCTACTCTAAGCCATCCTAGGTTGTCAAAGTGGGCAGAGGTGAGGTGGGTTCTAGATGAAAGGTCAAGCAGTAGTCTGACCAGTTTATTTTGCGATGTTTGAAGTTTTATTTTTAGCGCCTTGGAGGTGCTATGGTACCATGACGTGCAAGCATAGTCATAGTACCCTTGAATGAGTGCTCCTGCCAGAGTTTTCAGGGTGTTTTTGTTTACCAGAGAGGAGATCCGGTATAGGAATCTAGTTCTTTGATTGACTTTTTTTATTACATTGGATGCCATTTTGTCACAGGAGAGGTTTGCCTCAAGAATAGATCCTAGGTATGTAATTTCCTTCTTACTTGTGACAATAATGTCACCCACTGCAACTGAGAAGTCGTCGGATTTGCTGAGATTATGTTTCGAACCGAAGAGAATGGACTCTGTTTTACCCAGGTGTAATGACAATTTATTATCGGCGAGCCAGGTGCAGATTCTGCCGAGCTCGGAGCTGAGGGTTTTTTCAACCTGCAATCTGCTCCTGTCAGAGACCAGCAGGGCTGAGTCGTCCGCGAACAGGAACAAGTTGCAGTCACATGCTGATGACATGTCATTTGCATAAATTAGGAACAGTAACGGACCTAATATGCTTCCTTGTGGAACACCACAGCTCACTGGGAGGGGGGGGGACAGAGTACCGTTTACCTCCACCATCTGTTCTCTCCCCTCCAGGTAGGATTGCATCCAGCTCACCGATAGTTTATCAAAACCAATTGCTTTTAGCTTGTCAATCAGAATGGGGTGATTGACAGTGTCGAAAGCCTTTTGTAGGTCCAGCATCACCATGCCGCAGTATTTACCCTCGTCCACCTCTTGTTTGATGTGGTCGTTCAAATAAAGAAGGCATGTGTCAGTGGAGTGGGATGTTCTAAAGCCAGATTGAAATTCATAGATTAGTTTCTTTTCTGCGAGGTACTTTTCGACCTGTTCATATACTATTTTTTCCATGACTTTCGAGATGGAGGTAAGTATAGAAACAGGGCGGTAGTTGCCTGGGTCCAATTTGCTGCCCTTTTTGTGCAGGGGGGTTACTCTTGCAATTTTGAAGTCTTTGGGTACTTTTCCCTGTTTTATGGAGAGGTTAATTATGTGAGCTATGACTGGTGAGATGGTGGTTGCTGTGTCTCTGAGGAATTTGGAGGGGATATTGTCGTGGCCAGTGGCCTTGTTAGGTTTGAGGGCGCTCAGTTTAATGAGTACCTCTGCTGTTGTTACCCTTGCTAGACTGAAATCATCTTTGCGTACCCCTAGGTTTTTGTAGTAGGTCATGATGTGATCTACTCCAAAAAGCCCTGAGTGGGAGGGTAATTTATTTACAAGAGTTGTGGCTATGTTTGTGAAAAAAATGTTCAAGTACTTGGCCACATCCAGTTTGTCTGTGATGAGCCTGTTATCTGTCTTTATGTTTACGTTTGAAAATCTCGTTTTGAGTTTTTTACTGCAGCCAAGCTGGTTATTGAGTAATTTCCAAAGTTCACGGGGTTTATTTTTGTTTTCCTCAGTTTTGTCATTGATGAAATTCTTTTTGGCAGTTTTGATCATGGAGCTTACGTCATTTCTTAGTCTGTTTCTTTCAATTTTTAGTTCAGTCACGTGGGCCTGGAGTTCACTGCTCGTGCTTTTGGAAAGCATTGACTGACTTTTATGAAACTCAGAGCATTTTTTGTCTCTGGTTTTCATGGCGGTCAGTATGCCGGAGTGCATCCACGGCTCAGCGCGATTTTTTACCCTGGTTGTTCTTAGGGGGGCCAAATCATTGAGTATTGCAGAGAATTTGTTTTTGAAACCAAGCCATGTTTCTTCAACTTGTGTACCACTGAGCTCATCTGACCAGTCCAGGCTCTCCAGTTCTAGGTTAAAGGCCTCGCTAGAGTAGTTTTTGAGGTCTCTAGATATGACTGTTTTGTGACAGCCGGCCTTTTGTTTTAGCTTTTTGCGGGTACAGAATATCATATAATGATCACTTAAACCGCATGCTATAACCCCTTTACTGGAGATCCTGGACCTGTCAGAGGTCAGAATGAGATCAATGGTAGTTTGTGTTGTTTCACATACCCGGGTGGGTTGGGTGATTAGCTGGCTGAAGCCGTGCAGATCACAAATCCTACTGAAGGACTTGAAGACGGACGTGTCTTTACGTTGCATATCCGTGTTCCAGTCTCCAATAATAATTGTCTCTACATCCCCCACATCAGCCAAACACCCATCTAATGTATCATAAAAGTCACTCTGTTCCGGTGGTCTATAGATTGTCCCGACTATTACAGATTTAGCATTGTCAAAAAGAATTTCAACCCACACAGATTCAATATTTTCATGATGCAGGTCAGTACGGTTTTTGAAATTGGTGTCTTTATGTATGTACATGCAGACACCACCTCCATTCACGTTCCTGTCCCTTCTCACTACAAGATAATCTTCAATTTCAATCTCTGAATCTGTAATGGAATTGTCCAATTTGGTCTCAGAAAAGCATAATATGCTTGCCTTACCGTTCATGAACAGTTGCCTGAGTTCAGCCAGTTTGTGTCTCAGGCTGTTAGTGTTCAGATGAAAAATATGTAGTCCATTTTTGTTGTTTAAATGCATAATGTCGTCAGCTTGAAGATATTTGTCTTTGTCCGTTACAGCAAACGGCTTGCGGCCTGCCGTGGTGCTTGGAGCGGTGGGGTGGTGGGGGGAGGGAGGCTCCGTTGTAGCTTTAGCCGTCGATATGCTAGCAGGGTGGCTAACAACATGGTGGATATTTGTTCCCTCGGATCTCGGTTCTCTTCCTCTCGTCACTGCCTCATGCGTGTCTGTCTGCCGAGGCGTCCTCGGGGGAATGTCGAAGTCTCCGTTGATTCCTCGGTCTCCGCTGTCTCCATGGTCTCTGTTGTCGTCGCGTAGTTGTTGCTGTAGCGGAAGAGATGCTAGTTGTGATGCTAGTTGTGATGCTAGCTCCTCGAGCCTGCAGGAATGGCTTCTTGTCTGCACCGGGCCCGGATTCAGATGGATGTCTCCCGCTAACAATAAGACCAAGACGATCATACTTCTTCGGTCTAGTTTGCCTGACGGGGGTAAGTACTTTCGCGTCGGGTTTGCAGTTAATAATGCATGAATGCTTGCACTTCCAAAAGCGAGGTGTTTCCTTTCCCAGCCGTTGAGAAGGTAAAAGTCATTGTGGTTCATTTTATCCCTGCTTTCACTACTCTCCTTCTCTAAGTGATGTTGCCTCATTGATGAGTTGAGGTAGGAGTCCATAATCCATATTGTCAGGAGGATGAAATATGTAAAAAATCGTGAGGAATAACCTCCAAAGCGGGAGCTCTCGAAAATGCGACCACTCATAGCGAAACCGGAAGGTCTTTAGAGAGAGAGAGAAGTAGGAACATTTCCTCATAGACTTCTCTACAATCTGAGGTAATAAAGAGAGAGAGAAGTAGGAACATTTCCTCATAGACTTCTATACAATCTGAGGTGATAGAGAGAGAGAGAAGTAGGAACATTTCCTCATAGACTTCTCTACAATCTGAGGTAATAAAGAGAGAGAGAAGTAGGAACATTTCCTCATAGACTTCTCTACAATCTGAGGTAATAAAGAGAGAGAGAAGTAGGAACATTTTCTCATAGACTTCTCTACAATCTGAGGTAATAAAGAGAGAGAGAAGTAGGAACATTTCCTCATAGACTTCTCTACAATCTGAGGTAATAAAGAGAGAGAGAAGTAGGAACATTTCCTCATAGACTTCTCTACAATCTGAGGTAATAAAGAGAGAGAGAAGTAGGAACATTTTCTCATAGACTTCTCTACAATCTGAGGTAATAGAGAGAGAAGTAGGAACATTTCCTCATAGACTTCTCTACAATCTGAGGTAACAAAGAGAGAAGTAGGAACACTTCCTCATAGACTTCTCTACAATCTGAGGTAATAAAGAGAGAGAGAAGTAGGAACATTTCCTCATAGACTTCTCTACAATCTGAGGTAATAAAGAGAGAGAGAAGTAGGAACATTTTCTCATAGACTTCTCTACAATCTGAGGTAATAGAGAGAGAAGTAGGAACATTTCCTCATAGACTTCTCTACAATCTGAGGTAACAAAGAGAGAAGTAGGAACACTTCCTCATAGACTTCTCTACAATCTGAGGTAATAAAGAGAGACTGAAGTAGGAACATTTCCTCATAGACTTCTCTACAATCTGAGGTAATAAAGAGAGAGATAAGTAGGAACACTTCCTCATAGACTTCTCTACAATCTGAGGTAACAAAGAGAGAGAGAAGTAGGAACATTTCCTCATAGACTTCTCTACAATCTGAGGTAATAAAGAGAGACTGAAGTAGGAACATTTCCTCATAGACTTCTCTACAATCTGAGGTAATAAAGAGAGAGAGAAGTAGGAACATTTCCTCATAGACTTCTATACAATCTGAGGTGATAGAGAGAGAGAGAAGTAGGAACATTTCCTCATAGACTTCTCTACAATCTGAGGTAATAAAGAGAGAGAGAAGTAGGAACATTTCCTCATAGACTTCTATACAATCTGAGGTGATAGAGAGAGAGAGAAGTAGGAACATTTCCTCATAGACTTCTCTACAATCTGAGGTGATAGAGAGAGAGAGAAGTAGGAACATTTCCTCATAGACTTCTCTACAATCTGAGGTAATAAAGAGAGAGAGAAGTAGGAACATTTCCTCATAGACTTCTCTACAATCTGAGGTAATAAAGAGAGAGAGAAGTAGGAACATTTCCTCATAGACTTCTTTACAATCTGAGGTAATAAAGAGAGAGAGAAGTAGGAACATTTTCTCATAGACTTCTCTACAATCTGAGGTAATAAAGAGAGAGAGAAGTAGGAACATTTCCTCATAAACTTCTCTACAATCTGAGGTAATAAAGAGAGAGAGAAGTAGGAACATTTTCTCATAGACTTCTCTACAATCTGAGGTAATAAAGAGAGAGAGAAGTAGGAACATTTCCTCATAGACTTCTCTACAATCTGAGGTAATAGAGAGAGAGAGAAGTAGGAACACTTTCTCATAGACATCTCTACAATCTGAGGTAATAGAGAGAGAGAGAAGTAGGAACATTTCCTCACAGAGTCGCCCCCTGCTGGTTATCAGAGACGATGCAGCTTTAAAGGTACGTCCACACGGCAGCATGCGTTGAAGCTTGCCGGCGGGCGTGTCTGAAGCTCGACCTACAACCAATCACATGAATCTCCCGCCCCGGACACACAAGCACGCGGTTTGATTGGCTAGAGCTTGTACTGGCATATGATTTGATTGGCTGACGCTTCCGTCGAAGCTTGAAAAGTTGAACTTTTCTCGACTTTTGGAAGCGACAGAACCACAATGCAGTTCGGGAAAGCGTGACGTCACCCCATTCAAAGTTAATGGGAAGAAGCGTTGAGGCTTCAACGCACGCCGCCGTGTGGACGGGCCGTAAGGAACTTCTCTCTGACTCTTGGGTTTCTGTTTACTTTAGATGTAATACCTCTATTATCTTTCCTCTTGCGCCCCCCTCAGCACAAACTGTTCATGTTTTTGTATTCTCCAGGTTGCCGCTGTGTGAATGCACTGAAGACAGCAGTGGAACTTCCTGAGGATAGCTGAGGTCAAACTGAGTCTCACACTGAGGACGATTTGTTCAGAGATTCAGACTTCCTCTTCAAAATACATTTCTATGCTGTGAGTCACTTCTGTTGTTTCCTGACAGCAGTGTGTGTGTGTGTGTGTGTGTGTGTGTGTGTGTGTGTGTGTGTGTGTGTGTGTGTGTGTGTGTGTGTGTGTGTGTGTGTGTGTGTGTGTGTGTGTGTGTGTGTGTGTGTGTGTGTGTGTGTGTGTGTGTGTGTGTGTGTGTGTGTGTGCGCAAACTCACTCCACAGTGCTGCTCCACTCTGGAGGTTCGCTCAGCGTCATGAACACACAGCTGCTCAGGATCGTCAGGAGGATGAACCAACTGAATAAAGTTTTCTTTATTAAGAACAAACTCAGCGACATTTGAAACACACATGAGCGGCATCACATCTCTGCAGTAAACTCAGCCTGCAGGTTACTAATGTTCCAGAAAACACATAAATACATCAACTGTGACTGCATTTAAGTGTCTCTAAAAGAGATGTTCCTGTAGTTATACTGAGCACAACATGACACCTCACAGTTCTCTCATTTCATTTCATTTCAATCTTTATTTCGAACAGATTAACAACAAATAAAAAATAACAAATGTGAAAAACGGTATTCTGTTTTTCACATTTGTTATTTTTTATTTGTTGTTAATCTGTTCGAAATAAAGATTGAAATGAAATGAAACAGTATATATATGTCTATATCATCTGTTATATATGTCTATATCATCTGTTATATATTTCTATATCAACTGTTATATATGTCTATATCATCTGTTATATATGTCTATATCATCTGTTATATATGTCTATATCAACTGTTATATATGTCTATATCATCTGTTATATATGTCTATATCAACTGTTATATATGTCTATATCATCTGTTATATATGTCTATATCAACTGTTATATATGTCTATATCAACTGTTATATATGTCTATACAAAGTGTTATATATGTCTATATCAACTGTTATATATGTCTATATCAACTGTTATATATGTCTATATCATCTGTTATATACGTCTATATCAACTGTTATATATGTCTATATCAACTGTTATATATGTCTATATCAACTGTTATATATGTCTATATCATCTGTTATATATGTCTATATCAACTGTTATATATGTCTATATCAACTGTTATATATGTCTATATCAACTGTTATATATGTCTATACAAAGTGTTATATATGTCTATATCAACTGTTATATATGTCTATATCAACTGTTATATATGTCTATACAAACTGTTATATATGTCTATATCAACTGTTATATATGTCTATATCAACTGTTATATATGTCTATACAAACTGTTATATATGTCTATACAAACTGTTATATATGTCTATATCAACTGTTATATATGTCTATATCAACTGTTATATATGTCTATACAAAGTGTTATATATGTCTATATCAACTGTTATATATGTCTATATCAACTGTTATATATGTCTATACAAAGTGTTATATATGTCTATATCAACTGTTATATATGTCTATATCAACTGTTATATATGTCTATACAAAGTGTTATATATGTCTATATCAACTGTTATATATGTCTATATCAACTGTTATATATGTCTATATCAACTGTTATATATGTCTATATCAACTGTTATATATGTCTATACAAAGTGTTATATATGTCTATATCAACTGTTATATATGTCTATATCAACTGTTATATATGTCTATATCAACTGTTATATATGTCTATACAAACTGTTATATATGTCTATATCATCTGTTATATATGTCTATACAAACTGTTATATATGTCTATACAAACTGTTATATATGGCTATACAAACTGTTATATATGTCTATATCAACTGTTATATGTCTATACAAACTGTTATATATGTCTATACAAACTGTTATATATGTCTATATCAACTGTTATATATGTCTATATCAACTGTTATATATGTCTATATCAACTGTTATATATGTCTATACAAAGTGTTATATATGTCTATATCAACTGTTATATATGTCTATATCAACTGTTATATATGTCTATACAAACTGTTATATATGTCTATATCAACTGTTATATATGTCTATATCAACTGTTATATATGTCTATACAAAGTGTTATATATGTCTATATCAACTGTTATATATGTCTATATCAACTGTTATATATGTCTATATCAACTGTTATATATGTCTATATCAACTGTTATATATGTCTAAACAAACTGTTATATATGTCTATACAAACTGTTATATATGTCTATATCAACTGTTATATATGTCTATATCAACTGTTATATATGTCTATACAAACTGTTATATATGTATATTACAAACTGTTATTATGTCTATATCAACTGTTATATATGTCTCTATATCAACTGCTTATATATGTCTATATCAACTGTTATATATGTCTATACAAAGTGGTATATATGTCTATATCAACTGTTATATATGTCTATATCAACTGTTTATATATGTCTATACAAAGTGTTATATATGTCTAATATCAACTGTTATATATGTCTATATCAACTGTTATATAGGTCTATACAAAGTGGTTATATATGTCTATATCACTGTTATATATGTCTATATCAACTGTTATATATGTCTATATCAACTGTTATATATGTCTATACAAAGTGTTATATATGTCTATACAACTGTTATATATGTCTATATCAACTGTTAGTTTTTATATTATGTCTATATC